TAGCTGAAAGGCGTTCATTGCGACTTGTGCTGTGACTTGTGGAGCAGTTGCAATCACGTCGTCGTTATTTTCCTGATTGTTTGTTGTATAATTAGAAACCTCTTTTATAATCTATTCGACAGACATTTCATGGAAAACATTTTCCTGTTTATCCATTCCATGACACCAGATTTCCAAATCTTCCGGACTTATCTGTTTTCAGTAGCGACTTGTTCTATAACTTCCGAAGTAACACTGATTTGTGTAACGTTGCTAGGAGTGGTGACTATATCTGGCCATAACTTTATCCAAGACGATTTAATAGTTGATGGCGGTAACGCATACCACGAGTGACAAAGAGCAAAAACCAAGTCTTTCATATTAAATTCTTTTAAAGTTTTTTCTATTGGTTGGTCTTTTGATACGGCTCTCAGAAGTAGGTTTTTCTTATAGTCTTCTTTGACAAACTGAATGATATTCTGGTCCATTGGTTGAATCAGTGCAGTGCAATTTGGCGGAAGAAACATCGTAGTGATGCATTTATCCTCAGTTGTTAGATCTTCTTCAGACGGATGACCAGGAGCGCTATAAAGAAGCAACAACGCTTTTTGAGGAAAATTATGATCTTTTAACTATTTTCTAACTTCAGGTACGAAGCATTCATCAAACCACTTTTTGAAAAGGTCTTCTGTCATCCATGCACTTTTTTGTCCGTAATAGTGTACAGGTAAATCAATGTTTCTGAATGCCCGTGGTTTATTAGATTTCCCAATGACCATCACCTTAAGCGCGTGTGTGCCCGCAGCGTTAGCACATGGTAGTGTGGTTACACGCTCTTTACTTACTTTTCGTCCAGGTACGGATTTGTCGTTACAAGAAATGAAAGTTTTGTTAGTCATCACATGCCAAAAAAGCCCTGACTCGTGTGCATTGTACACCTGGGACGGGTCAAGATTTAAATCGTTCACCTTTTGCAAAAATCTTAATTTAAAGGGCTCTATGCAGGTGGCATCGTTAGAAAGTTTCTCTCCTGTAATAGTCAATAAACGTATGCCATGACGACTTTTAAAACGTTCTAGCCATCCTTTGCTGGCCACAAAATCATCTTTTTTTGTTATTTCCTTATAAAAAAATTAGCTTTCATGGCCAACGTGGGTCCTGAAATTGGTGCATGCCTATTTCTTTCCTGAAGAAACCACACGTACAAAGCTTCTTCCACTTCTGGATGTTCAGCTTTCTTGAGTGTCTGTCTCTTGCCTGGCCCGCAGTCAGTAGTCGACACGAACTTCTTGATCTTCTCGTGGTTTCTTTTAATGTCATAAATTGTAGATCTGCCTACGCCGTATTCACTTGCTAAACTACTGAAAGTTTCATTGCGATTTAAGCTGTCTAAAATATCATATTTTTCTTTAATTGTCAATGTTTTGTGCTTTCGCGTCTGAGTTTGTGATGACATTACTAGGTACTATACTTAATACACAATGAATAAATAGTAAACAATGAACGCACGCTAGGCCGTACTATCACCAATTCAAACTAAGTAAAACAATGCTTACGCGTCGAGCACGATAGCGGTAGCGCGTACAAGTTGTAACCTGTTCAAACCTGCGTGATCTATACTAGCGAAGATTGTCAAGTACGTATGTATGTAATACATATTCAAAAACATGTCGGATTACAGGGGGCGTCGGATTAGATAGGGGCCGGATTATCGTGGATCCACTATAGTAGCTTCTTCACCTCAATTAAAAAAAGCCCTGGTATTTATGGTAGCAAGCAGATAAGGGTCTAATTCGCTGTTAGTTGTCACTCAGTCTTGCATAATTTTCAATAAATAATATAAAAAACACATAATAAAAAAACTTGCATTTATTTAGCTGCTCATAAAATGACCCAAAAGTTAAAAATAATTTTTACTTTCCATGCCTACTGGCGAGAAAGTATTGTAATCGCGAAAACTTTCGAAAATGAGATATTATGTTTTTTGGGTGTTAAATAACATGTAATCTCTAAAAACCATGTCACTCATTTCCGTCGGTCTTTCTGTCAGTCTGTTGGTCCGCTCGAATTTAAATGAAATTTCTACAAAAGGTTAGGTACTACTAGAAGAACTATGTAGTTTTTCAAAATCGGTCCAGTGGCGGCAGAGAAAAAGGTCTAAAACAAAAAAGTAAAAATCGTTCAAACATCGTTAGGAGAGGATTCTGATCATTTTTGAAAAAAAAAATCAGATATAAAAAACTTGGGGGTAGGGGGTTGTAAAGGGTTGGGAAGGGTTTATCTCAATTGCTTGATGCTGGTACATTTATACGCTCTCAACATTGGTAATTCTACGCACCTATTAGATATACAGGGTGACTTTGAAGTTGAGTCATTAATTTTCAGATAATGATTGTATAAACCAAAATATGTGTCAAAATAAAAAAAATTAAAAAAAATTGTTTACCTTGTTTTATAAAGTATCCTCCCGACAAGTATTTCAGTGCGGACCTGTATTTGATCGTGAGGTCCCCTGTGAGTTCTTAAGTCACCTGATTCACGAGCCCGTTGTACTACATTAACAAAGGCACGAGGGGTTGGTTGCACTCGATTGGGAAACCGATCCGCATAAACATGTGCCATTTTTTATTTCGTTTGAGCCACGCAATAGACACTATTCACACGCGTTACCGACTGACAGTGACTGTATGTATAACTGGACTGAATAAAATAATTGTAAAAACATCGTTCCAAATTCTTTCGCTTTTTTGTTTCCGATGCGATGAACCGATAAGGCGGATTATATCCGTTGTTGCCAAACACGAGCACATGATATTATTATTGAGACAGGGCGGTACTCAAACTTCCAAAGGGCTATAACTTTGTTACTTTAATTTTGCCAGAAAAATGGTAAAGGAAAAAAACATTTCTTTTGATCAGATCTACTCACTGTTAAAATAAATGACTCAACTTCGAAGTATTTCACACATCGTAGATTTATCTCTCTGTACATTAGCCCTGAAACTTATAAAATATTCTCGGGAGAAGGATCGTGTACCTGTAGGCCGCGGATGCTGCCGGCATCTTCCGCCGACAGTGATGAGTGTTCTGGTATGGAATCACACGTGTTTCTGCAGCGCAACAGCATAGTGTTTTCTATGCTCTGACTGCGCTACCACGGTGCCTCGTCTGCCCGAGTGAGGTATCGTGGAGGGGCGACGTTTCGAGATGCACTTCCGGTAGGGCAGGGATGTCTATGGACTAATTGTGTGGACGCGTTTGACTGACTTTTTTCTCAGACGGTCTAGTTTGTGCTGAACATATTCGTTTATGTACTGATAAGAGCGTTTCGTGTAAAGTGGAAAGTCACCCTACCTGACGCCATTTTTCTGATTGGAAATATGGTACTTGCACAATATTGAAGCTCCTTCATCTCAAATTTTCAAATAAAAGTGTCCTTTTTCTATCCTGATGCCAAAAATGTTTTAAAATTTTTAGTTCTTTTTATTAATAGTTAACTAAAAGCTTGTTTTTGTATTTGTTTATATTATTTATTTTTTGCTTTTTAGTATTTACGATGTCAAATAATTAGTTTCGTAATTTTTATAGGACTCCATAAAACTTCGTACTTTATTTGAAGATATTATAAATTTTTGATAGATATAAATCATATAATTTGTTTGTTGAAGAGTTATTTAACATTAATGCTACAATGTCAACTTTGTATAATTATTCGTTTACACATTCTTTGAATCAATTTTCTGTAATCTTAGAGTCTTGTCTGATAAAATTACATCACTATGCATTTCGGGTATTCATAAAGTATTTTCTTAATTTCACCTTAAACATTGTTAAACACTGTTTAATATTATTATTCAATTTATTAAGCACAAATACTGCCTTTTGAAATACAGATTTGCTGGTTATGCTACTATTACAATTTTGTAGGTGAAAATATAGTATAGTTTCGTAGTTGAGATAATTTTGTGAAGTATTTTAAGTGAAGTGGTAATAAATGACTTTTTAAATTTGAATATGAAAATGAGAGCATAATCTTAGCATATTTGTTTTTATTTAAAATGATTCTTAGCTTTGTTTTGTTGAAATTGTGATTATGGAAATATGTCTGCATTTGCTGTAAATAAAATTCTTGAACAATATAAAAAAATGGGGATTATAACGTTATACAAATTTTTTCGGAATACATACTGACATTGTGGGAAACTCTATAGTAGTATATATAGTAATTTGTCTGTTTTGATATTTTTGAAATAGCGTATTCATAACGCTCTTAAAACAGTAGTTTACTATCCACATATACAGGGTGTCCAAGATAAGGATCCTATGACTGGGGTTCTCAATGCTTGTAGGAGATATAGCTTACGTTAAATTAAGAAATGAAACTTCTTGCTAATAACTACACGATAGCGTTTTTAAATTTTGTGAGAAGCCATCATCGGCTTTATTTTTTTATATTTATATAAAAGTACACTCTGTATCTTTTTATACGAATTCGACGATACATCACATGTTACATTTATTTCCTTGGTTATGACGAAAAATGCAAACAAATGCTTGACGTAAATACTTGACACCGAGTTTTTTTATTATTGTTTATTTTGCTTTATTATTGTCGAAGATGTCAGACAGTCATTTTAGTAATAAAGAAAGAAAGAAGAATAAAGTTCGACATGCTGATGTGCTACATTTTGTGCTACAAAAATACTAAGAACACTACAGAAATGCATCCTGATAAATTTCCCGAAGGAAGGCAGCCAAGCAAGTTCATTTTATCAGAGTTGGCTCGAAATTAAAATGAATATGTTTCATTCAAAGAGCAGCCTGTTACGTCTCGAAAAAAGGAATCTTTAGAGGAAACTGAGAATAGTGTTCAACAAGTAGTTGCTGAGAACTTGAAATCAACTAGGCAAAATGTAGGAGTAGCCAAATCCATAGCCTTATTAATGTAGAATTGCCAGCATTTTTAATAGTAAGTAGTACACACGACAGTGTGATGATTTCTCTTCAAAAATAATATGGTCCGACGAGAATATGGTTACTAATAATGGTCTTAATCGCCACAACACTCATTATTGGGCTGAAGAAAATCTGCGGGCTAAATAAGTATCCAGACATCAAGAACGTTTTGGGTTTAATATGTGATGTAGAATTCTAGAGACCAAAATATTAGGTCCATTTATTATCCACAACTCATTAACTGCAGAACGTACCTTCAATTGTTGCAACATGATCTATAAGACTGCCTGGATAATTTACCTTTGGCACAGGTGAATAGCTGTTGGTTCCAACAAGCCGGTGCTCCTGCACATAACTCTGGGCAAGTTCGGGAGTATTTTTCGCAGCGATTTCCCGGAAGGTGGATTGGAACTTCAGTGGAGTAACCTGGCCAGCGCGTTCCTCCGATTTAAGTCCTCTGCATTTTTTTGTTTGGGGTCTTATTAGAGACCAAGTTTATCAGCATAACATACTTTTGAAACTGAGCAGCAGTTACGAGAATGTGTAATGGAACCATTTAGTATGATTACACCAGAAATGATATGCTAGAAGATCATATTGATGTTTAGAAAATAATAGCAACTTATTTAAACATCTATTGCGAACTATATAAAAATAAAGATAAACATTTATTCGCTATTCTGAATATCACTAGATTAAGCATCACTTTATAAAATTTTACTCCATCATATTATCCTGTATACCTAGATATTTGAATAATTGGATTGCTTCAATTTTTTCCTCGTTAATTATGAGCTTAATTGGATTGTCACCTAGACGTTTTTCTATTGACATAGATTTTGTTTTATTAGAATGTAATTTAAGTGTATTAACATTTAATAAACCATTTTCTTAATACCACTATTTAACAGTTCTAATGAAAAGTCAATATTTTGCGGCGATCGCTATATGGTATTTAGAACGTCACTTCGCTGATTGTATTTCTTTCATAAAGCACTTTAATTTGATACCCATATCATAGGGGTTACTAAGGAAATGTCGAATCGCCATTTTATAGCATGCGCCGTATTGGATTTAACATGAAGGCAGCTATTTTATTTTGTATTGTTACGCAAACCAAACGCGGCTATAAAATTTCAGCTCATTTGGTTAAGGTTAACTGGTTCAAAATTCTGTTCGAAGATTTCTTCCACATATACATACTAACAAACAGGCCAAGCTAAATAGAGGCTTGTAAAGATGCCATGGACTGAATCAGATTTCAATTTGATATTTGATATTCCGCCGAAAAGCTAGTTACATTTATAATTTTGTTTTAAAAAAATACCCTTCGTTTGCTTTTTATGTTGTCCATCTGTCTCTGAGTTATTTCTCCAATGCTCTGGGATCCCCACAGTTCCAGACCTATCCTGGCATAGGTGAACATCATAGAAAGGATAGGAACAACGTAAGTCACCACCAAAAACACGACGTTGAAGCTGAAACAAACAAAAAATTGTATAGATGTGGACAATACTTCTTAGCCTAGCAGAAATTTTATCGGAAGGGGGAATTGAGCTCCCAATGTTTGCCCTTTTATTTTTTGTGCTTTAATAAAATCAATAAAAAAAATGGTTATTCCCTATAATTACTCCTAAATATGGATACTTTAAGCATCTTTATCAACTTTTAAATAGAGGAGATAGTTGGTTACAAGACTGATACAGTCCTAAATAGTTGCTGAAAGAAAAATGTTTCTCACGGTATTTCAACCGAGGCATAGAAGAAAGTTAAATTGGATAGGATTTCATTAACAGGCAGCTCCCTTTAACTACTTCTTTTTAACTAAATTTTCTTACCCGTCTTTTCTCTCAGGAAAATAACCGCTCTACAATTAGTGTTCGATAACTTCATCGACACTTGGGATGAAATAAGGTTAGAAAGAGAGTCAAGTAGATAACATGATCGCTTATCGTTTTGGGTGGTTGAACGTCTTTTGGGAGCGGGAATGTCTACCCTAGGTGGTCTTTGCCTTTGCTGTCTTAAATTTTTTCTTAGCCTGAGACTAGGCTTATATTATTATCGATCATATGATGCACATTGTACATCAGATATACATAAAAAGCTATTTATGCTTCTAAAGAATCGCAACCTCATTACCAGAAGATGACGCGATTGCAAAATTCGCACTAGATACTACGTTGCTTTGCTGATATTTGCCTAAATCACTGCAAACCGCATTTCACTGGCGTGGTTTGTGGATTGCAGGCTTGTAGGATACTGTGAGGTGTATAAATTTGGAATAATAAGTTACGCAGGAAATTGACCGGGTATAAGAAGGCATTTAGATGCTTGTGTGTGAGTGGTGTAACTTGATCCGGAAAGGACCTGATAGCGTACGTTGTACGTAGTATGCAAATATTGCAATCTGAGAATTCGTAGTCAAGTGTAGTTCTCTGGATTTAGGATCTGCCTCAAAGCTCCTCTTCAGTAAACCTTTTGGGCTGTCCATGCTTAACAGAGCGCGTTGTTGCGTAGCATGTTCCACATTGGAAAGGTCATATATCGTAGTAAGCCATCCGTGACAGAAGGATCAACTACTGATACGCACTCTTTTACAGTTACGTGAGTATTGTCAGCCGCGTTAAGATTTAATAATTTAGTCCTGTGAAAATAAAATGAGTGACGTCACAGTACTTAGTCCTTGGTCTTGGATGACTTCTCGCGACATATGGACTTTCCAATGTGGAACGTGCTACGTAACAACGCGCACTGTTAAGCATGGGCGGAAAGAATCTCATAGCTAGTACGTCGCATGAAACTTGCATACATTGCAATTTGTCTTGAGAAAAAGTAGTAAGGTGTAGATCTTTGGATTTAGGTTCAGTCTTCGCGTCTGCTTGACAATATAAATAACATTAGTAGGGCATTATGAGACTTCAAACTAAAAATGACTCAAAGCTCCACTTGAAAACATGTTGATGTGGTCCATGCTCAATAGTGCGCGTTGTTGTGTAGCACCTTTAAAATTGGAAAGGTCATATGTCGCAGGAAGTCAGCCGTGAAAGAAGAATCAACTACTGTTACGCACTCCTTTACGGTTACCTGTGTATAAAAGCCACGTCTATTTTTAATAAATTAGCTCGGTGAAAATAAAATATGTCACGTAACAGTGCCTACAAATAGTTGATCCTTTTGACTCAGATGACTTGCCTGCAGCACATGGATTTTGCATTGTGGAGCCTGCTACGTAATAACGCTAATACTTAGTATCAATTTTGCAAAAATCGCAAACTGACTTTAGGGATTTTAGTAAAGTGTGGTTCTTTGGATTTAAGGACTGCCTTCGCCTCTGCTCAAAAATGTAGCAAACAGTAGTGAGCAATTATGGTATTTCAAACTCAAAATTACTTTAAGCTTCATTTGGTAAAATTTTTGTGTAGTTCACGTTTAACAGTGCGCGTAGTTGCGTAGCACGTTTCACGTTAGAAATGTCATACGTTGCATGTGTCATCCGTAATAGAAGGATCAACTACTGTTACACACTATATTATGGTAATGTGTGTATAAAAGCCGCATTCATATTTAATAATGTAGACCAGTGAACATAAAATGTATGACGTAGCAGTAGTTGATCCTGTTGTCTCGGAAGACATATGACATTTCTAATGTGGAACATGCTACGTAACAACGTGCACTGTTAAGCATGGGCGGAAAAAATCTGACAACTAGTACGTAGTATGAATCTTGCATACATTGCAATTTGAGTTGAGAAAATGTAGTAAAGTGTAGTTCTTTGGATTTAAGTTCTGCCTTCGCGCCTGCTTGAAAATATAGCAAACACTACTAGGATTAATGGAATTTCAAACTCAGAATGACCTTAAGCTCCTATTTGGCAAAATGTTTGCGCCATCCATGTTTAACAGGGTTGTTACGAGCTACGGCACGTTCCACATTGGAAAGGTCATTATGTAGCAAGAAGCTATCCGTGACAGATGGATCAACTACTGTTAGGAACTCGATTATGGTACCATGTGTATAGAAGCTTCGTTCATATTTAATAATATGGTCCAGTGTAAATAAAATGTGCGATGTAACAGTAGTTGATTCCTTTGTCTCGGATGACTTAGGGACTCAACAATGAGGATTGTGCTACGTAACAACTCACACTGTTAAGCATGGGCGGAAAGAATCTGATTGATAGTACGTAGTACGAATTTTGCAAACATCGCAAGCTGACTTCAGAGATTATGGTAAAATGTAGTTCTTTCTATGGATTCAGGTTTTGCTTAAAAATATATCAAACAGTTGTAGGGAAGTTATAAGACCTCAAACCCAAAATGACTTTAAGCTCCCTTTTGATAAATTTTTCAGGTCATCCATGTTCAACAGTGTACGTAGTTACGTAGCTAGATTCAGTTGGGAAAGCGTATTTGTCGCAGGGGGGCATCCGTGGCAGAAAGATTAACTACCGTTACGCACTGCTTTACTGTTACATGTGTATAAAAGCCGCGTTCATTTTTAATAATTTAGTTCAGCGAGAATAAATCATAAAACATCGCGCACTGTTGAACATGGGCGGCACGAAAATTTTGAGTTTGGAATTACATAAGTTCCCTACAGTATCTTTTAAGCACCAAAGATTTTTCTGTATAAACTTTCTTAAGCAGTCGGACATTAAAAAAACTTTTTTCTTGGTACTCACATATACTCTTGATAAGACTCATTCGATATTCCGTCTGGCCATTCCATATAGCAGAGTATCCTGTTGTTCTCTTCTTCTATCGTGTATGTCGTGAAGTACAGAAGATATGGGATGCCCATCAGCACACCGATCAGCCATGTACCCAGTGCTACCAACAGGGTCAGTTTTCTTCCCATGCGAGGTTGTAAAGGCTTTATTATCGCCATGTATCTACACAAAAATAAACACAGATACCTTTTAGATAATGATAATAAACAAATAAACGTGTAGCTTAAATTTTGTAAAATTTAGGGACCTACCGATAAGAACGGGTCATTTGTAGCCCATAAGCCTATTTCTTATCACAAGAAAAATAAAACTTCGCTCACTAATTTTAAAAACTAATTGGTCAATCGTTACATCCGAATTTTTATATGGAATATTTTACGTTTATTGAGAAAACAATCAGTTTCATCCCCCTTTTCGGAATAAATGACCAGCAGCGGGAAATTTTGTAGCTTCAATTTGTGTCATTTCAAGAAAAAATTTTACGTTCAAGAATGACTTTGCCTATGACCTTGACCATGACTTTCACGGGTATTTGGGGTGATTTAAAAGTGTGGAAAGAACAAAATGTCCCGAAAATACGTTTCAGAAAAATGAAGCAAAACAGAGCTGTAAGGTTTGAGAAGGGTCAAGAAGTGATGACCTTGAACATGAACTTTTGAAAGTAGATAATGTTTTCTTAAATGGAAACTCAGGAACTGCAAAGAGCAGAAAACTTTATGTTCACGTAATTGTCCATGAGCTTGACTATAACCATATCAAAGTCATTTGAAGATCAAATGAAAATTTAATTCACTGAGATACAAATCGCGGACAGCTTCACGTTTGAGCATACGATTGCCGACGAACCTGACCACTACCTTCAAGGTCATTTTTGATTGAAATATGTAAGTAAGTTCATTACATTTTTTGTAGGAGACCTAAATATTTTACGGTCAGGGTCACTATAACCTATTTCACGAGTATCACCGTTGAATGACAGCTGATTATCTAGTAATATCTCAAAATTCCCCATATCGGTACAGGAAACATAATTCTGACAGACCTGTCTACGCCAGGCAGACAGAGTCGTATTTTGTTTGTTTTTTGTACGCCACAGTTACATTTTGTAGTTGCTAATAGTCCTTTTAGTTAGAAAAGTTCAAAAAACAAAATACCACAAACAAATTTTATTAGATTTAAACCCGATTCATTATTGCCAACGTTGCAGACTAACACAAAAATCCCTCTTGCTCATCAGCTGTTCACCTCGGTAGACGTCAAAGCGTGATGGATATTCGTGAAATTAGTGATGGGATCATTCGAATGAAAAATAATCGGTCATTCGATTATCAAAATCATTCGAGATATCTCGAATACTTCAACCAAATGATTCGAATGATAATTCACTCTTCAATCAAATGTGTGACCGCTCGAAACAAAATAAAACCGATGCTGCCGCTGCGCGTCTCGCACCAGATGTCTCGAGCGATCATTCGTGAATCATCTTTCGCATGCAGCAACGCGTGAGCAGTGAGCCCAGCCGTATCTATGAAATAATTGGCGGTCTGGCCCGAAAAGTGGTAGGCAGGGCCGGCGTTAGGAACATAGGTGTAACATAGAGTACATAGACTGTTAAGAATCAAAATATATAAATAAATGTGTAGTGTGAAAACAAAAAACTATTACTATGCATTATTGTCTAACATACGTGAGTTCTATGTTAAATGATTTCCGAGCGCACGAAAAAAAGTGGGAGGGGGGGCGGCAGAATTGGGCTTGCCCGTGACGTCAAAAGTCTTAGCGCCGGCCCTGGTGGTAGGTATATTTCGACAATTTCGACTGAAATAGGAAGAGCTACCAAAAAAATGCGCTTGAGAATTTATGTTGTCGCATCGTAATTTTATTATTATGTGTGGTAATATAATCGAATCACAAATCTAAATTTTCAAGCGCATTCTTTTGATAGCTCTTTCTATTTCGATCGAACTATTTTTTTTATTAGTTGGGAATAACAATATAGGGTGCCTTAGCAGATTTCTCTCAATAGTTTTTTTAACGTATATTATGTGCCAAGTGGCGAAAGTTTATTTCAATTTTATGCATATTAGTTTATCTGATTATTAATTATATTTATAACAGCAGTAATTTATATTGATTTGATAATTTCATATTCTATCTTGGTGTTAAAACTTAAAACCTCAAACTCAATACATGATTGGAATTGAGCATTCATTACCTATAACTTTATTCCTTGCAACAAAATATGTAATAATAATAATAATAAATCTGCTTGGAAATATGTAACATAATAACAGAAAAATAAAACTAATGTTAACAAAAAGTTTATTTAACTTTGGTTTAAAACTGGAAAAATAAACATTTATTCCTAAAACAAACTTATTGTTCTGAACAGTAAAATAAAACTTAATTACATTTCTTAAACTTTGATTTAAAACTGCAAACATAATATATTATTATATAGGTTAATTTCTAAAACAAAATATTAGAATAATAATAAAATAAAATAATAAAATTAAACTTCATGACATAACAAAATATTTGTACCATACAAACATAAACTCTGAATTAATAATACTAGTCTAAATTAGAACTATTTAAAAAAATTATTTGGTCTAAGTTTTTTGGAGATAGGCGATTTCGTCTTAAGTTGGTTAGTTGTCCACATTTCGAAAATATCCTCTCCGAGGGTACAGATGTACCAGGAACTGTTAAATATTTAAGTGCAAGCTCATAGAGCTCAGGCATACTTTGTTTGTGTGCTTTCCAAAATTCTAATGGATTTTCTTTTCGATTTACAAAAGGCAGTTCCAAGTATTGACGAATTATTAAGGTAGCAACAGTAGTAGGGGTAACTGTCGACTTCACTGTAGATAACCTTGTGTCAAAATTTAACCAAACTCCGAAATCATTGTCTTTGGATGGATTTTGATTACTTAAGTCATCTTCCTGTCTATTTTCCTCCAAGTCATTTATATTTAGTTCATTTTTCTTTCTTATCAGTTGGACCAGTTCTTCAAACACCCATTTCTGAGCATTAGAAGAATTCGTTTCGTTCCCGAATCCCAACTTTTTGAACCTTGGGTCCAAAAATGAACACTTCGCGACAGTCTTATTTACTTCAAGAATTCCAAGACGACGTGAAATAATATCTACTAAATCATTTTTTAAAAGAGTGCAGACCTCATTTTCAGTACTGAAACGTACTAGCGCATGCTGCAATCCTCTTATGAGTGGTATTATTGAAGACATTGTAGGGTACTTTTCGCCAGATAGGATTGTGGTGATAACCTCCACTGGCTTCAAAATAGGAATTAAATCTTTTATTATAGTCCATTCTTGAGCATCTAAAAATTCTGGAGCACTGGAAATACTGGTAATAGTAATACTCAAGGAATCTTTTATCACCAATAATCTTTCCAGCATTACTAGACAAGAATTCCATCTTGTAGGAACATCTTGCTTCACTTTAAGAACAGGAAGCCCCATCTGCTCTTGCACCGCTTTCAATTTATTAGAAGCATTGTTGCTGTGTTTAAAATGTCCAACAATACTCCTACATTTTTTTAGTATCGCGCTTAATAAGGGCTTTCCATTAAGTGCCTCATTTACACTCAAATTAAGAGTGTGGGCCACACATGGATGGTGATGTTTGTTCAGTATTTGCACTGCAGTTTTTATGTTTGCAGCATTATCTGAAACAATTGTAGACACCTTTTCAAATATGTCCCATTCTTGCAAAACTTCTTTTACGGATAATGCTAGATTTTCTCCTGTATGAGAATGTAGCATTTCCCTTGTAGCTAAAGCATTGGAATGCATTTTGTCACTATATATAAAATGGCAAGTAATAGTGATATATGATTTATTACTATCTGAACTCCAACAGTCCGTAGTGATTGCAATATTATTTGTTTCGCGCAACATATTTTTTAATTTTAATTTTTCTCTTTCGTATAATTGTGGGATAAGCATGCTTGAAAGCTTTTTCCTACTCGGCAAATTATATAATGGTTGAAGCCTTTTAGAATATTCAATAAAGCCTTCGTCTTCGACAATAGATAAAGGCTGATAGTCTTTTACTATCATTTTTACAAGGGCATTATCTATTTCAATTATGTCCACGTCAGTCAATTCATTGGTTTTAGCGCCAAATAATTTTAATTGCTTTCTTCGCTTTAGGGGTGGAGGATGGAATGTTGAGTCATTCGATGAACCCGTTCGATTTTCTCCTATTATTTCATCGGTTTTACTTGATGGACCAGCTTCATCTTCTTTGTGCTTGAATGAATTCACTTTTTGGTCATTATTGTCTAAATCCTTGTCGTTATTGGGTGGTTCATTTGCTAATAATTGAGTTGCATGCAATCGCTTCAAATGTTGATTCAAATTTGTAGTATTCCCAAAAAATTTTAGTTCTTTTTTGCAAATATTGCATTGCACAAAATTTGTGTTGGAAGATTTTTTAAAATATTCCCAAACGACGGATTTTTTAGCACCAGGTCTCATAATTCTATCAGGCATGGGCAAATTATAATAAATCGGTATTTAACGAATTTGATTTACGCTGTGGCTAGAGTCCCGGTACCGGTAACAAAATTATTCCCGGTAGAATTGTTGCAATTAAAACATAATAATAAAAAGTACAATTATTTTTTCACAGAAAAACTTACACTTAGATTTATTTTAAGGCACTGGATATTCGTCCGTACATGTGCGGTCGATGTGACGTTTTGTTTAAACGGCCGCACATTCGATATTCTTGCCTAAGTTCGATCAGGTGAATGGTTTATTGAAATGTTAGTACATATTGAAATATTATTAAAACCTCTAAAGAAAGCGCTAACCTAACCGGACGATTAATTTATTTTAAGCAGTGCAAATTAAAACATGTACGGCCGTTTAAACAAAACGTCACGTCGACCGCACATGTACGGACGAATATACACTACCTTATTTTAATTTACCCAAGCCTGATAAAGTTAGTATTAAACAAAACAGACAAGACGAACGTAAATCACCCGCAAAAGAAAAACACCACTGAGCGAAACACCACCCGTCACGTCACGAAGTTCGAAAACAACTAAAACAAAATCATTCATCAGTGTTGCCACAGCGTTGTGGCCAAATTACTTGCAAGTACCAGACAGTTTTACTTGCAATTCCTTGCAAATACCTGACAGTTTACTTGCAATTACTGGCAAAGTTCAATGTTTTTATTCGTTTAGTTATGACAGGTATTCGAATCTCCTTCAGGTCTAATTCTACCGATTCTACCGCTGAATGAATTTTTGGTGAACCTGTGCTATGACTTCTCATACCTCCAAACACAACCTCCAATTCCGAGTGACGAGTGTTCCGCAAAAATAGATGTATATCTACCGACTGATTGATTCACGATGAGTATTCATATTTCAGTCAGTACGGCCATTTTTACTCCTCAGTGCTCTGCTAAGACTCAAGACTGCTGCGGCTTGACAGTCACAGCGGCTTTATGGTCCCGAGAAAAATGACAGATAACAGAAGCACCTACTTAGTGATCATGCGTTCTATCCCGATTTGTTTTTTCACTTCAGCTGGCTCGGCTCCATGTTCTAGGTTGAATCCCGCACGCCGTATCATAGAATGTTATGCTAATATGGCAACTGTTACGAATGTTTTAATCCATAAAATATGAACATCGCATCAATTACTTGCAAATTCCTCCAGAGCACCCATTCCTTGCAAGTTTACTTGCAAAGCTCCTCATTCCTTGCAAATGCAAGTAATTACTGGCAAAGCGGCAACACTGCAATCGTTGTTCAAATCGCTCGCGGCGTCGCGGCAGCGAGAAACGAGAATCAGAAATCAGAACTGCTGACTGAACGATGTTTACAACATGTGAATGATCATTCGAGTGATATATCGATTCTTAAAATCATTCGAATACTAACTATCCGATTATTAGAATCATTCGATTCTGCCCATAGCTACGTGAAATAGGGTATACTTGACGTATTTTTATTTCTGGAATTTGTACCTTTTGGAGTCCCTAAAATATCCCTGAATGTCATAATCAAGATAATGGACAACGACTCACTTTAACGTAACATTCCCCGCCCTCTACATTTCAGGTGTCAACAATAGGGGCTTCCATTTAAGAAAACTGTATTGGTCTTCAAATGGTTACTCATCATCTGGGGCATCGAACGAAAGCATCGCAACTATCCTCTATCCAGGAGGTACGGTCTTTCGAAATGAGACAGCGCAAAGCGTCATCTATCATCAGAATCGACCACTGCGGAGA